AGCGAAGGCTAATAAGTGAATGTGGAGATGAAATGAATGTGAGAATCGCCAGCAGGCAGGCAGGCAGGCACCAAGATGCAGTAAGGGGAAAGGAACAGTTGATGAGCCAGATCGTGAATTGCAGCTGATCCAACCAACTATTCCTATAATTCAACTCAACCACGACTGAAAAAAGAAAACGCTTTTTTTTAAATGAATGTGAAAGAACTCCTGAACTTACATCCGTGAGCTTTTGAGGGTCTTCGGAATCTCGTACATATTCGATGGCATTATCCAGCACCAAATTGATTAATGCATCGTAACCCTTCAAAATTCCAGAAGCTGCAAACTGGCAGTAATCAAATTCGAGCAAACAGCAAACAAAACACAGTGATAACTCCTCCGGCAAAGAAAAGCTAAGTCACAGATCTTTGCTCGTGAGGTAAAAAAGAAGTCCCCGCATCTAATTCAGCTTCCGCTAATGGAAACACACTTCAGCTCTGGCATCTCTTGGTCAAAATGAGCAAAAAACTGTGAGTCCCGTGGCCAAAATGAATAAAACTGTCGCGCCCACGGCCAAAACACAAATTTTATTCATTTACTGTGGAGGTTTTTGTGCTTCAGCGTAAACTGAGTCTTTCTCTGCCCCTTCATTCGCCCTCTGTTCTTTGTTTTTAGCGAAAAATGAAACTTCCGGCTGATTTTAGTGCCTTTGATAAAAGAGGAGCAGCATCGCCAGCGAATGAATGGCTGCTACGGTTAGCTTTTGCATCCATCCACAGGACTTTATTTCTTGGTCCAATTTTCGCACTTTTTTATTTGTGCAGAGAATTTCGGCGCTCCGCAGCGCACAACAAGCAATTCCAACATAAACACAGTGATCGGATTTCAAAAAAAGAACCTGGTACCTTCACGGCCTCCTTGAAATTTGACGCGCACTTTCTTGTCAATAAAACGCGACAAATCGACAATCGATTCTTTCTTCTTCCTTGTCGGCTCCTCCTTATCCTGCATTTTATTGATCAACGCAACGTATGAACAGAACACACAGATCTAGTTGTTAAGAAGGCAAAATTAGTGCGCTTACCGGCATGATGATTCTGTATCTTCAGCGCCGTAACGAATCCAGAAATGCAGAGGAAGGTGCTCTGAAAATAACACGAATAAACACTTTGCTCAACAGCTGTAAGCAATCTTCGGAGGTGGAAGTGGCGTCGCGAGCGATTATTGCCGATATTTGCTATCACTCAGACTGCTTCCGAGTGCCTCCGTCCTAGGAGGTTTGAACGATGTGGGCCTCGTTCAAACAGATTCGTTCGTGAGTTGCGACGCCACCCGGTGCTGTTGCAGCAAGTCTACAACAGGCTCAACAACGTGACAACTGCTAGAACTCTCCTCGCCTCAACAGGCGAGTTGCAGTACTGCATAGTGAAAAGCTCGAGAGCTGCTGGTTTAGGCCTCGGGCACCGTGACGAGGAGAAAGGGACGGGGGCAGTGACTGCAAAGCAACTGCGGCTCCACCAGGAAGGAGAAACTGGAAACAGAGGTGGTTTATGTGGAGAGGGGGCCGATTCGCTCATCCCGAAACTTGATGCTGAGCAGACGCAAGTACTCTTGGACGCAACAACCAGAACCCCATCCAGACAAATGATACGGTACCATAATTTCCGTGGTCCAAACCCGAGCACGAAAATGAGCGCACACTGCTCGATCGAACCGAATTTTTTAGTTGCCAACAAGGCAGCATCCGAAATTTGGTGTTAAATGAGATCCAGGCCAGCCAAATGACGCACTACAGTTGCCGAGCGTTTCGATGCAACAGCTCACGGGATCAACGAGATGTAGTCGTCATACAGTGGAAGCGGCCATCGCCCACCCCCTCCCCAGCCCGCCTCAACTGGAAAATCACAGGTTAGCCTCAATCAGCCGGATGTTCCCGTCCCGTCCTCGCCAGCAGTTACGACAAAAATGCGGCTCAGCTCGGCCACCACAGTGAGACGAATTCTCTTCTTTGCTAGAGCTATTTTCCAGCGTCGCTTGTCGGTACTGCCTGGCATTTTGCCAGCAGGCACCGGGTGGTTGGATGGCATGGACGGGGATAGTAGTGGAGGGGAGGTGGAGGGGATTGGGTTGGTGATCGATGAGTGGCCAGATACAGCACCGGAGGAGGGACTTGGGGACAGGGTAAAGGGGTTCGACAGCGTCACTAGTCAGGGATTCGAAGCAAGAATTGAAGACAGCAGTAACCCAGGATGAAACGCACCAGGCGAGCCGGTGCGATCATGCGTTTTTACACAATACTTGAATTAGGTCAACTGC